GATACAGTAAGTGAGAAAATCAAGGTGTGCTATATCCCATGTGGCATCCCGGACTGGATCCCGGAACAGAAAAAGGACATTCACCTAAAATCTGGCACCATCCAGATATAGTCTGTGAGTTGGTTAATAGTAACATGCCAACGGGGGTTCCTTAGCTGTGACCCATGACTGTGGTAACATGAGATGTCCTTATTAGGAGATACTGCGAGGGGCATTGTGGGAACTCTCTGTACTATCTTTGCAACTTTTCTATAAATCTAAAATTATTCCACGATAAAAAGGTATCTTAAAACAGCAAAACAAAACAAAACACCCAACAACCAAGATGCTGGACAGTCCAAAATATGTTACCATTTGTGAGGAGGTGGAAAAGGATATTCTCCTCCTGCATTTGTGTAAAAATGTACATTTGAACGTGCACAGAAAATCTGCAGCAAGAAGAGAGGAAGGGGTCTCCTGTTCTAGGCAGACTGCCTGGGGACAGCAATCAGAAGTGGAAGGGAAACCAAGTTGTCCGCCATAAACACTGTGGCATTGTCTGATTTAGAAAAAAAAAAAATAGGGGCGCCTGGGTGGCTCAGTGGGTTAAAGCCTCTGCCTTCGGCTCGGGTCATGATCTCAGGGTCCTGGGATCGAACCCCGCGTCGGGCTCTCTGCTCAGCGGGGAGGCTGCTTCCTCCTCTCTCTCTGCCTGCCTCTCTGCCTACTTGTGATCCCTCTCTCTGTGTCAAATAAATAAATAAATAATCTTTTTAAAAAATGTGTGCAATTTTTTTTTAACTTAGGAAAACTATTTTTCTTTCTTTTTTTTTTTTTCTCTCGAATGTAAAACATGGGAAAAACTCCCATCCTGTGTCCTCAAGTCTTGAGGCTGGACGCTGGGGCTTTAGTTGTAGAACTCCTCAGGCCCAAGGTCTCCTTGGACAGGGAATGTTAACCAAGACGCCCAAGTGATTTTCTGCTACTCGGCTTTCCAGCTGTGTGCCAATTCTTGAGGGAAGAAACTCAGATTCTGCCCCCCCACCCCGATGTCCCGAGTGAGCAACTATTCTCACCTGCTTAGGTCCACCTGCTGGAGAAGGTGCGTCCCTCCAGATCGCCTGTCTGCCCAGCACTTCCCCGAGCTCACAGGGCCAGGAGCTGCGGGGCTGGGGCTGGCTTCTCCTTCCCTCCCACGTAGACATGACTTTACTAATCTACTGACCACATTCTAGATATCTACTGGGGTTTTTTTTTTTCTTTATTCTATGAATCACTAAGAGACTCATGTTGAAATCTCCCACTGTGATTGTTGGTGTGTTTTTCTTTTTATTTCTGTCCAGTTTTTAAATTATATTCGAAGTGTACAATTTGGTGGTTTTTAATATGTTCACAAAATCGTGCAGCCGTCACCACCACGTTTTCATGCCCCTCCCCCCACAAAGAAACCTCATACCCGTTAGCAACCATTCCTCCTTCCTGACCTCCTGCCAGCCCCTGGCACCCACTAATCTTCTCTCTGTAGATCTGTCTACTCTGGACATATTTCTGTTCACGTTTGCTTTGTAAACTTTGAGGCTAAATTATTAGGTGTGCAAAAATTGCAAATCATCTTTTCCTGATGAACTGAACTTTTTATCATTACAGAGTGATCTTGCCCTTAAAGTCCATTTTGCCTTTTTTAAAAAAAGATGTTATTTATTTATTTATTTCTGAGAGAGAAAGAGAGAGAGCACCTGCACACAAGCAGGGGGAGCAGCAGGCAGAGGGAGAAGCAGGCTCCCCGCTGAGCAGAGAGCCCAGTGCAGGGCTCATCCCAGGACCCTGGGATCATGACCTGAGCTGAAGGCAGACTCTTAACCGACTGAGCCACCCAGGCGCCCCAAAAATCCATTCTGTCTTCCATTCATATAACCACACCAGCTTTCTTTTGGTTAGTGTCTACACGGTCTATCTTTCCTCAGCCTCTTACTTTCAACCTTTAAGAGAGAGGTCTCTAGAAACAACACAGACTTGGATTTTTAAAATCGTTTTCGACAGTCTTTATCTAGAACTTTTAGTCCACTTGCATCTAGTATGACCTCCAGTATAACTAATTTAAATCTCCCATCCTATAATCTACTCCTTTTCTGCTTTGTTGTATTTGCTCTTTTTGTTTTTTGCCTTCATTCAAGGGATGGAGTGCACACCATTATGCCATTGCGATACTGCAATATAATAAGAAATATACATAGTTATATATAACATAATTGAACATATATAATACATATATTTCGGTCTTTGACCTCCGTTCTTGGCAGAGTTCCTAAAACTCTTGTGATTTCCCAACAGAGGTGAGAAGAGTGTCTTTTGTTGTCATAATAAGCCCCTTTCCACTGTATCTGAGTTTATGATAATGAACTTGGTGATTCCCCCTAGACAGCTTCAGGATGGCGTCTGGTTGCCAGAGGAACCAACCGTGTGATTCGTGATTAGAGGGTTAGAACTTTCAGCCCTAAATCCTCACCTCTGGGGAAGGGAGAAGGGGCTGGAGGTTGAGCTAATGATCAATGGCCAATGATTCAATCATTCCTGCCTACGTAACAGAACCTCCATCTGTCTCTGGGGTTCAGACAGCTTCCATGTGGATGAAGAAATACATCCACGTACACAAAAGGCAGTGCACCCCAACTCCTCTGGGACAGAAATCTTTGACCTTGAAACCTTCTAGAGACCTTACCCTATGTACCTTTCTTCATTTGGCCATTCATCTGTATTCTTTATAGTATCCTCTGTATCCTTTGTAAGCCAGTAACCGTGTTTCTCTGAGTTTTACGAGCCAGTCCAGAAAGTACTGAGCTTGTTGCGGGGGAGGTGGGGGAGGGGGGGTGGGAACCTCTGACTTTGTAGCCAAGTCAGGCAGAAGTGAGTATTCTGGGGACCCGGTACCTGCAACTGACACCTGAAGTGAGGGCAGTCTCGTTGGACCAGTTCCCTAACTGGCGGAATCCGAGGCTAACTCCGGGGTAAGAAAGTGTCATAACTGAATTAAATTACTGGTGCCTGGAGAGCTGGAAAATCGGTTGGTGTGGGGGGGGAAAATAATGCACACAGTTGGTATCGGCATGCTGTAATCAGAAAAATAGTTTCCCCGGGGCGCTTGGGTGGCTCAATGGGTTAAAGCCGCTGCCTTCGGCTCAGGTCATGATCCCAGGGTCCTGGGATCGAGCCCCGCATCGGGCTCTCTGCTCAGCAGGGAGCCTGCTTCCTCCTCCCTCTCTCTCTGTCTGCCTCTCTGCCTGCTTATGATCTCTCTCTGTCAAATAAATAAATAAAATCTTTAAAAAAAAAAAAAAAAGAAAAAGAAAAATAGTTTTCCTTTAGCCAGGTTCTTCTGCCATTCTGGAAGTGAGATTCAGGTCTTAGTCTGTGCCTCTCGGCCTCCAAGCTGGAAGTGCGAGCACCAGGCAGAGAGCGGGCACGTCCGCAATGAATGACTTTACAAAGGGTCAATGAATGAGCAGTGTCCTGTCTGGAATCATTAGCTTTTGGGCACTAGACTATCACGGTGGCCCCAGATCAAGGGGTCCCAGACTGATACAAGCCTTCCTTCAGGGGGCAGATGTCAGCCAACCTGAGCGCCAGTCCTGGCTTCGCCACTAGCTTGCTGGGTGACCCTGGGCACCTCACTGCACTTCCCTCAGCCTCCTTCTTTCTCATCTGTTCAATGAGGAGGCTGGACTAGACAACCAAAACCTCGGTAGGAATAGCTACTACCTGCTGCCTGAGGCACCAGGTACTATTCTAAGCGATCTGCAGGTGTTAATTCAATGAACCCTTACCACAACCTTATAAGTGATATATGGTTATTTCTCCCATTTTTACCTGGGAGCAACTTAGGCACAAAGGCCAAGTGACTTGATCGAGGTCACTTACAAGTTAAGTATTGGGTTAGGATTCACACCTGGGCAGTCCGGCTCCAGAGCCAATGCTTATAGCCACTAAGACTTTTGCATCCATTGCACAGATCACATGCCAACAAAGGAAAGCCAGGGAAAACAGAATTCCAGCACCTGGATCAAAATTTCCTCTTCTTGGGCCCTACAGTCCTTATCCGTGTGCTACTTTAGTCTCACAGAGGTGTAAGTACGGTTTTGAACTTCAGCGTCCATGTAAGCCCATCTCTCACCCCATCCAGTGGGAAGAGGGGGCCTGTGTAGTGACCCAGGGAGTTTCTTCAAAGACAAGAGAGAGGTCTGAGATTCCCGGGACAATGGGCAGCTTCTGACGGGGAAGGAGGCTGTGGGGGACAACAGGGCTGATGTGGCCCACAGGACCCACGCCAAATCCCATGTCTATCTTTGCTTGCCAAAAACCCAGCAGAGGGCATGCAGTGAATGTTCTAGATCCGTTTACAGGATGAATGACATTTTGGGGGCTTCAGTGCCATTCCGATCTGGTTTACCACCCTGGGTTGCTCATTGTTCAACGTCTGCCTCTGGCAGGAGTCTGATCTCTTCCCAGCCCACTTACAATAAAATCTAAACATTGGTCTCTAAGGGGTATGTGACCTGACCCCTGCTGACCCTTCTGACCTCATCTTTAACCACCTTTGGCCTCGATCATCTTCTGCTACACTGGCCTTCCTGGCTTTCTATAAAACTCATGCCCCAGGGCCTTTGTACTTGCTTCTTTCCCAAGCTATGTGCATGGCTCACTCCATCACTTCATTAGGGCTCAAACATCACCTGGTCAGAGAGGCCTTCCTTGATCACTGCATCTAAAGAGCGCCCCCCCCCACCAAGTCACATCCATCATCTCCCCTAGTCTGGGCACTTCCAGAGCACTGGTCACTATTGGGAACCATGCCATCTATTTGTTACATATTTGTCATCCAGCTCCTCCGTGCTAGAACCTAAGCTTCACGAGGGCGAGGGCTTTGTCTTGTCCACTGTGTGCCCCAAAAACCCCCCGGCCCCATGCCCACGATTACAGCAGGAGCAGCCTTTTCCCCGACCTCCCGGGCCGGCCCTTCCCCTCACCTTCGTGCTTCTGGAATTCCTCCTCGGAGAAGTTGGCATCTTTGTGCGAGAGGTTGGTCATGAGCTGCTTGTTCTCCTCCTGCAGCTGGGCGATCTGAGAAAGGAGGTCCTGCGCCTCCCCCCGCCACACGTCCTCCACCAGCTCCAGCTCCTGCGAAGGTGACGGGCCGGTGTGGGGGTCACAGCCCACCCAGGGCAGCGGCCTCACCCCCGCACACCCTCCCCAACCCTTGGTAGCGGCCTGCCAGGGCTTTGGGGGCCTTCCTGTCCCCCTGAGGGCGGGCACACTGAGAACAAGGCCACCACAGGTCCATGCGGCAACTCTGCAAGAAATAGAAGGGGCCCCCTCCTCCGGGCAAGGCCTGCACTTGTGTTTTAGGACGCGGCCAGGTTAGAACTGTCTCAAGAGCCGTAACCGTGCCTCTTAACCAGACAGAGAGAGCGTGTGGATGAGCAGCCCTGTACCACGGGGCCCCTGACATTCCCAACCTCTCCAGGGAGGTCATGGCCCTGATCTGTGCATAGACCCGAGTTGGGACCCACCTGTCTCCGAGGGAAAAAGGGGCTGTGAAGACCCCGGGGATGCCACCTGGCCCAGGGCTCCTTGTATGTCTGATGCTGGCGTCTCTTCAAGGGGGCTTGGGCAACCAATGCACTTAGCAACTCTGAGCCTCAGTTTCCCTTAGCCGGGGAGCCACAATATAGAGATGCACAGGGCTGTGTGAGTAACTAAGGTCAGTCCATTGAAATCATTTTGTGGACTATGATCAAAGAAACAGACGGAAGCGTTGACAAGGACACGAAAAAGTTGGAAGCCTCCGGCCTGGAGGGTCAGGGTGTAAAATCGTACAGCCGCCGTGGGAAAGAGCCCGGCAGCCCCTTAATAAGTTAAACCTTTTCCACATGACCGGAAATTCCAATCCAAGGAGGTGCCCCAGAGAAACGAAAACCCACGTCCCCACAAACACCTGTATGTGAACGTTCCCAGCAGCCTGACTCACAACCACCAACACGGAGAAACCAGATGTCCACCAACCGATGGACAGTGTGATCAACCTTGAGAACAAGGCGCTACGTGGTGCAGTGAGGCCACACAGTGTGGGACTCCACTGATGGGAAATGCCCGGAACAGGTACATCCACAGACAGAAAGCAGACGGGCACTTGTCTAGGGCTGGAGGGTTGGTGGGGGCATGAGGAGTGACGGACTGCTCCCTGGGGATGGGTTTTCTTTCCAAAGTAATGAAAATGTCTAAAATTGATTCTGGGGGTGCCTGGGTGGCTCAGTCAGTTAAACGTCTGCCTTTGGTTTAGGTCACCGTCCCAAGGTCCTGGGATCGAGTCCTGTGTTGGGCTCCCTGCTCGGCGGGGAGCCTGCTTCTCCCTCTCCCCCTGCCCCTGTTCTCTCTTTCTCACTCTCTCTCTCTCTCTAATAAACAAATAAAATCTTTAAAAAAGCCTAAAAATGATTTTGGTGGAAGTTACACAACTCTGTTTGAACAGACCCAAACGCACTGAATTAGACACTTTAAAAGGGTGAACTACACGGAATGTGAATTATAGTCAATAAACCTGACCCCTGCCAATACCAATCGGCAGTACCCATAAATAAATAAATAAATAAAAGATCTTTTGTAAAACCAGAAACTAAACATAATCTAAGTTAAACATAAACTAAACATAAACTAAGCACAATCGCTGTGGCGGGGACAGAATGCTGGTTGAAAAGGCAAAAGGTCGAATGGAGCCTGTCGACCCAAGTTTGAATCCTGTCTCTGCCACTTATCAGCTGATCCCGGGGTTATTCCATCTTTGGGTGCCTTGGCAAAGTGGAAAATAGTGCGCTCTCTACCTCCGAGGGCTGTCACGAGGCTTATGTCAATATCTGGCATAGTGCCCAGCCCCCAGAAAATGCTAAAGATGTGTTTGCTGGTTTCTGTTCCTCCTACAGCCTGTCACAAGCCGGCCCAGGTGGCCGGATAAACAGGGCCTCCGTTCATCTTTTAAATACATTCCCAAATCCCCATCTCCTCTGCCAGGAAGCCTGCCGCAGCGGGAAATGAGAGGTAATAACGGTTTTCGCCCAGTTGGTTCAAGGTCGCCAGGCGAGGTCAAGGACGGGGCCAGAGGGCGGAATGATGGAGTGGGCACGTGGCCTTCCCGAGCGCAGGTGTGGGCCGCAAGCAGAGGCAGGCGTTCCCATGCCTTCCTTTCTGCTCCCACCTGGCACAGGCTGAGCATGGAGGAACCCGGGGGGCAATGGTCAAGTGTAACTGACAACAGCCCACTCCCCGAGATGGGGAGAGTCTCCTGGGTTATCCAGGTGGGCCCATGTAATCACAAGGGTCCTCCTCCGTGAAAGAGGGAGGCAGAGGGGTCAGAGAGCGAGACGATGCGGGGACAGAGATTTGAAGACAGTAGTCGGCGGGCTGTGAGGATGGAGGAAGGGCCCAAAACCCGGGGCATGCAGGTGGCCTCCGGAAGCGGGAAAAGGCAAGGAAGTGGATTTTCCCCTAGAGCTGCCAGAAGGAATGAATTTCCTGACATCTTGATTTTAACCCAGAGAAACCCACGTCTGGTTTTTTGACCTCCAGAATTGTGTGCAGTATTATCCATACTGACATGTACCATACATATCCAACACTGTATTATCATAATAAATTTGTGTTACTTCTAGCCAGTAAGTTACGGTAACTTGTTAGGGTCGTAATAGGAAATGAATACAGACTTTAACCATCAGGGATTTTTTTTCCCTTCCCTTCTCTAAAAGGGGGCGGGAAGGGGTGTAGTTCTTGCCTTGAGCTGACCACAGTGAATTTAATCTAGCCTCCATACCAGCTAAAGGCTCCTCCAGGAAGTCACCCCTGATTGATTACTTCCTTTGCCGTCTTCAAATTCCATACGCTGGCCTACAGGCTCCAGTATAATCAGACCCCTGAATCCTCCTGATCTCTCCTCCCACCTCCATTCCTTACTCACTCTGTTGTGGGCCTTCGTGGGGTTTTTTGTTTGTTTTGTTTTGTTTTTTTGACAGACAGAGAGAGAGAGAGCAAGTGAGCACAAGCAGGGGGAGTGGCTGAAGGAGAAGCAGGCTCCTTGCTGAACAGGAAACATGATGCAGGACTCGATCCCAGGACCCTGAGATCATGACCTGAGCAGAAGGCAGACGCTTAACGGACTGAGCCATCCAGGCCTTGAACACCCCCATTCCTGCCTCAGGGCCTTTGCACTTGCAGAGGCATCTGCCTAGAATGCCCCACTCCCAGCTCTCTCTGTGGAGGTTACCCACACTTGATGCAAATCTCAGCTCAGATGTCACCTCCTCAGGGAAGCCTTCCTGACTGCTTGTCTATTAGACCCCCATCCTGGCCAATCTCTTTCATATCTCCCTATTTTATTTTTTTCATGTCCCTTATCTCAAGCTGAAACTTTTAAAAAAACATCTATTTCCTCACACTAGAATTGCACCATCCAACAGAGTGGCCACAAACCACATGTGGTTGTGGAGCACTTGAGACGTGGCCAGGCTGAACGGGCACGTGCAGTAAGGGTTAAATAGGCACCAGATTTCAAAGACATAAGAAAAAAAATGCAAAAATATCTCTAATAATTTTTTGGGTAATTATGTGAGATGATGGATGGTAACTAAGTTTACGGTGATGATCGCTTCACAATATACACAAATATCAAATCATGATGCTATATGCCTAAAACTAATACAATGTTACATTTCAATCATATCTTCATGAGAAATAATTTTTTATGTTGATTACAGTTGGAAATAATAGTATGTATCAACGGGGTTTGATATGTTATTAAAATTAACCTCTCCTGTATCTTTTCATTAATGGGACAAGCCACATAATTTTTCTACAGGACAGCACTGCACTAGAAAGTCAGGCCCATGAGGGCAAAAACCTCATCTGTTGTGGTCTCCGCTGTCTCCCCAGTGCCCAGAACAGTGCCTGGTCCATAATAGGTGCTCAGGAAATACATGTGTTGCATGAATAAGGGAACAACATATACTGTTATGTTATAGACATTATAGACAACTGTACCTACACAGCCAACACTTTCTAAGCCTATTTGTATTTTTCCTGTCTTCCCAGTTACCCACCCACTGCCTGAGATGAGGATCCAGCTTCCCTTGTCTCTGCCCTGCCCATGTCACCCAGGAGGGCACCTTGCATGCCCTGGACCATCAACAGGGTTGCAGACTGAGTAACCAGATAGAACATGTTAAGACTGTGCCCTGAGGGATGTCTGGGTGGCTCAGTTGGTTAAGCATCTGCCTTCAGCTCAGGTCATGATCTCAGAGTCCTGGGCTTGAGCCCCGCATCGGGCTCCCTGCTCAGTGGGGAGCCTTGCTTCTCCCTCTGCCTGCCCCTCCCCCTGCTTGCATGCGCGCGCGCTCTCTCTCTCTGTAATAAATAAAATCTTGGGGGGAAAAAAAAAGACTGTGGCCTGAGTCTGTGTGATGAGCAGAACTGACTGAGTCTGGGGGTGTCCTCGGGGGAGGGGATGGTGGAAGACAGGGTGAATGCTTTACCAGAGCCACGTGTGCTGAGAGAGAGTGAGGCGGGAGGGGGGGTGCAGAGAAAGTAAGGAGGAATGAACAGACAAAATGATAAGACCAAGGACATGCTCAGATTTTTGTGGAAATAACACTGTGAAAAGCCTTTGAGACTACAAGGAAAAAAAAAAATCAGATGAGTCTCTCTTGATCCTAAGAATACAGAGAAAAGGGAGCCAGGGCTGGGATGGGAAAAGGGTTTTGTTCTCTAATTTAAGATCATCCTCCGTGTTTACAAACAAGCCCAGCTCAGAACACGCTGGGGTTTACTTCCTGGCTGATAGCGTTCCAGAAGTGACAAGTGCAGCTGGTTGGGAATTCCATCTGACTCCAGGCCTAGTGGCCTCTGATGGCTCCCAGGGGTGTCTACCAGCCCAGCTGCTGCAGAACTCAAATGCCGAGGGTGGGAACACAGGTGCTGGGACTTCTGAGTGACCTGGGCTAAGTCCCTTGGTCCCGGATAATAAGAGGCAGCCACAGGAGAGGATTTCAAAGATCTCTTCCCGGAACTCTCTTAAGAGTTAACTAATCCTTTCCACCACAACCCCAGCAGACGTGTGCTATTACCATCCCCATTTTACAGGTGAGGAAACTGAGGCACAGAAAAGCGAGGTGACTTCCCTAAGATCAAACCACAGCAGGGTCTGAAACCAGGCCGTCTAGCTCCAAAGTCCCCTCTCTGGGGAACCTGACATTAATTACAGGGCTGGGGCATTTTCAAGCTCTCAGTGCGATCTTGGAAAGGTTGCCCAACACTCTTGGAAAGGTTGCCCAACACTCGGGAGCTTGAGTTTCCTTCCTGACCTCAGGGCATGGGGACCTGAAAGGACAAACACTGTCAAACCCTGCAAACACCAGGGCTCTTAACCACTCACAGCTCTGCCCCCAGGTTAAGACATAGCCACCGCTGGGGCTATTTTCCTTGAAACACAATAGCTTATGGCCTGCCAGGGAGGTTCAGAGAGGCCAAGTGTATTTCCTGAGGCCACACAGCAAGCCAGGGCCCACTCGGGCACCTTGATTCCTCCAAGGAAACGCGTTTCCTCCTATTCTCTGTCCAAACAGTCTGACAGAATCTTCCTTGCGCTGAGGTTGGGGCAGGAAACCACACATCTCCCACTTCCTTTTCCCCAGGCACCTTGTCTAGACTCCCAGCCCAGTAGGGAGGTCCTGATTCAAGTGCTCAGAGGGATTCTGGTTCACAGGGTAGAGGCTTAGCTTTAAAGCTGCCCAGAACCAAGTCCATCCCTCCAATCAGGGGAGAAGCACTAGAGTTACCTCCACTGGGGCTGGGATTCTCTCAGCACTAAAGTGGGACAATTCCTCCCTCCCTCACCCAATTTTCTTCCTCTATAAAATGAAGATAGTTCCTGCCTCACAGAGTTCTGTGAAGATTAAAGATAAAAGGAAGGAGGGGAAAGCACCTCAGGTTAATAAACTAGAAGCCCTGGGAAACAATTTGTAAATAGAAACCTAGAGACTTGTGTGGGGTGGGTGTGTGTGTGTGTCAATGAGCTCTGTGGCTGGAGGTCACATCCCCCTTGCTCTGGGGGGTTTTGGGGTAAGAAGAATGGGGACTGAAGCACATTTTCTTGGGTAACACTGAAGGGCAGAGGGCTTATTTCATTGCTAGAAAATAACAGTATCTAAGCACTTTAGATATATCACACTTAATTCTGATAAGGTGGGTCTTACTACTATCACTATTTGATATGGGAGGAAATAAAGCACAGAGAGGTTGAGTAACTTAACCAAGGTCACACAGCTATCCCATGGTAAAGGTGGGGCTAGAACTCAGCTCTGACTCCAAAGAACTACCCTTAATCTCCGAAGCGGTATATGCCAGGTGGTGCGGGATGGACAAAAGAGGGCCAGGGGCCTCCCTCCGTCTGTCTTTCATCCTTTCAGTTCCCTTCTCACCTAGTTCCTCCATACACATACGTGTGCACCTACAGATGCCCGATGCTGAAGGCCCCTAAGGTCCCAGCGGCCCCATTCCCCGGATGGGCAGACTGGGGCTGCTCGCTGCCCACCTTCTGGTGTTTGCGCTCCTTCTCAATGCGGTCCATCCTCTCCAGGCGCAGACGGTCCAGCTCCAGGCGCAGCTCGTCCAGCTCGGGCGCGACGTGGTGGCGGCTGACCAGCACCTCCAGGATCTCCAGGACACGCACGACCTTGGGCATGAGGCGCGCGATGGCCTCGCAGCCGTGCTGGTCGATGACTCGCTCGAACTCGTGGCCCACGAGCGACGCGATGTCGTACACGTCCATGACGGTCAGCTCCGCCACGTTCTTCTCCAGCGCCGACTCGGCCGCCAGCGACGATCCCCGATCCTCCTCCATGGCCCCCCAGCCGGCCTCTCCCCCACCCCGCAAACTAGTGCAACTCCCAAACTTGCCGCTGTCCAGGGCAGCGCCGGGCCGGGCCCACCTCGCGCCGCCGCTGGCGGTCCGCGCTCAGCGGGCCCTCGGGCGAGGGCGCACCCGGCGGCCGGCCGGCGTCCGCATGGGCGGGGGCGGCAGACCGCGAGCCCGAGGGCGGCGCGCGGGGGGCGAGTCTCGGCGCGCGGCTCGGCCCGGAGCCTGCTCCCCGGCGGGAGGAGGAGGAGGAGGCGGCGGCGGCGGCGGCGGCGAGGAAGGCGCGCGTGCGCAGGCCCGCGGCGCCTCCCAAGTTGGGAATCCGAGTTGGGCGCAATGGAGGCGCGGGATCTAGCTGGAGAGGGGGCCCCGTCGCCCTCGGAAACAGTTCTCGCCCGAGGGTCGCCCCCAAGCCCGGGGCCGGGGAAGGAAGGGCGGCCGCGGCTCCTCCGGGAAACTTTGGTGGCGGCGGCGAGACCGGGTGACCGGCTCCCCCCGCGGGGATGCCGCGCGCCCCGCCCCGATCCCGGCCTGGCGAGGGGCGCGCCCGGCTTCCGCCGCCCGAGGGCGCCCGGGTCCCCGAGGGCCCCGCACCGCGACCCGCCGGCCAGGCAGCACCCCGACCCCCGCTCCGCCCGCGGGACCTTTCTCCTCGCCGCCCCCTGCGCGTCCGGGCGCACCGCCCCCTCCTCCGGCCGGGTCCTGGCTCCTCCTCTCCCTCCCGCCGGGGAGGGGTCGAGACTAGCCGGGAGGAGAGGGGGTGGAGGCCGTGGAAGCCGTGGAGGCGGGGGGGGGGGACGCCGGTCTCTGGACGCTTCGCGGAGCAGAGGAGCACCTTCTGCGTTGGAGAGGAATGGAGGGTCGCGAGGTGGACTCGGGGATGGGGCCCGTGATGGGAAGAGCGCGAGGACCCCCTCCCCGGTCCCTCCCCCACCGCAGACCCGGTCACAGGCGGACCTGGTGGCGCCGGGCCCTACGCTCCAGTACAGGCGCCCGAGAGGAGCACAAGAAAGGGTGGAGAGGTCCCCTGCCCCGAAGCCGCCGGACTGCCCCGCCCGCAGAGCCACGTCCATTAGCAGTTCCTTGTGACATAAACACCGCTTCACAGAGGAGGTGAGGCCGGGGTTTGGATCTCGGCACCGCGAGTTTTTTTTGGTCCAAGCCCCCTGTCCTTTTGACCTGGCTAAATCCCCTAGTCCATGCGACACCCCGGCCCCAGCAGTCTTTTCAGAACCCACCAAGCCCTCCCACCTTTCCCATCCTCCACGCAGGGCTTAGGGGCCCTCCTCTGCATTCCCACAGCCGGCCGCCTCCTCCCATAAAACCGCTCACACGCTGAGTTTTAACCGTGTGGGTTACACAGGCGCCTCCCCGGTGAGACGAGCCCCTTGAAGGCATAAAAAAAACTTTAACGCCCTTATAGCCGCAAAGCTCCCACCAGCCTAGCAGATATGGACTTAAAAAAAAAAAATTAAGTTGAAAATGGACTGCACAGCTATTTCATATTTAATTCTAAGAGCTTTGCAAAAAAAAAAATTGCCTCATTCAATCTATACTCCATCAGTCTTCAGAGTGTGGCCTAATGACCACTGGGGGTCCCTAATACCCAAAGGGTCTCTGTGAGGTTGTCCCTTGTGCCAGCTTTGTATCAATATGAGGCAAGATGCTTCTGGCATATTTAACACGGAACAGCATCTCACAATAAGACTGAACATCAGAAGCAGTTGTGAGAATCCTGCTGTCTTCCAATGAGCTAGACATTAAGGGGATTTGCAGAGATGTGAAACGCCACTGTCCTCAGTGTTTTGTTTGTTGGGGAGCATAGTTACTTTTATTAAAAATATATATATTGGGGCACCTGGGTGGCTCAGTGGGTTAAAGCCTCTGCCTTGGGCTCTGGTCATGGTCTCAGGTTCCTGGGATCGAGCCCCGTGTCAGACTCTCCACTCAGCGGGGAGCCTGCTTCCCTCTCTCTCTGTCTGCCTGTCTCTCTGCCTGCTTGTGATCTCTGTCTGTCAAATAAATAAAATCTTTTAAAAAAAATGCATGTTAAAATGTATCTGCTTTTGAATTAATATTTTAAAAAATATCGGTTTAGATTTCTGCTTACAGTAGATAGTCACAGATAGAACCCACTTGATCGAATCTCTTTATAGAGTCTTCAGTGGGTTTTGAGAGTGCCCTTGCAAAAGGGTCTCTGAGATCAGAAGGTTTGAGGACAGCCGCGTCACCACATCCTAAGAAGTATCATTATCCCAATTTTACAAATGTGGAAACTGAGTCACAGAGCAGCTGGTAAATGCTAAAACCAGAGATCAGATCCATGCCCAGCAACCCAGTGAGGTGGACATGTGATTATCCCTGTCCTAAGTCAAGGGCAGGGAGAAATAGGGAGGAGCATTCCCTTCCTGTAGCTAATATACCAAGTGGCCACAAACTGGCTTACTTAAAACAATAGGAACTTATTCTCTGACAGTTCAGGAGGCCAGACGTCTGGAATCAAGGTGTTTGGCAGGACTGGGCTCGTTCTGAAGACTCTTGGGAGGATTCTGCCTTGTCTTGTCCAGCCTAGGGCATCCTTAGTTTGTGGCCACATCACTCCAGGCTCTGCCTCTATCTTCAGGTGACCCTCTCCATGTGTGTCTGTCTTCTCTTCTGTCTCGTGTAAGAACCACCTGTCATTGGATCTAAGCCCATCTGCACAATTCGGGATGATCTCATCTCAAAATCTTCAACTTAATTACATCGCAAAGACTTTTTTCCAAATGAGGTCTCCAGTTCTGGGACTGGGACAGGGACGAATCTTTTGCAGCAGTGTGGCACCATTCTACTCACAGTGGGAGGTTAAGTAACTTGCTTAATTTCCCGCAGCGGGGAGGGATGGAGCAGAACCTGGTGGGTGCCCCCAGACTGGGGCAGATTTGCCCTCAAGGCAGCAAAGATATACTTAGCATAGTTGGCTGAGAGGGACAAGGACCTAGGAACTGGAGAACCATCCTGCAGCCTGACCTTAAGACCAGGGCAGGAAAGGGAGGGGAGGAGCGGGGAAGGCAGAAGCCTGAGGTGACCCCAAATGGTGAGTCGGGTGCTTAGGGGAATGGCTAGTCTTTTTTTTTTTTTTTTTTTTTAAGATTTTATTTATTTGAGAGAGTGAGCATGAGAGGGGGAGTGTCAGAGGGAGAAGCAGACTCCCCACTGAGCAGGGAGCCTGATATGGGACGTGATCCTGGAATCCCAGGACCTGAGGCGAAGGCAGTTGCCTAACCAACTGAGCCACTCAGGCACCCCAGGAATGGCTAGTCTTAAGTAAGTAGAGGCAGTCAAGCCTGGTGGGTAAACTTTCAAAGCTTCTCTGTGCTCTAACCCTGGTGCAGTCACTGACCAGGTGTGTGACCTTGGGCAAGCCACATGACCTTTCCTGGCCTCCACTTCCCATTCCACTAAGTGGGATCACAGAGAGTAATTGTTATTATTAAATGAATCAGCATGTGTGCTGGCCTCAGCCTGTGCCGTAGAACAGTTAGTTTCTGTCATCATTACCATCATCGTTGAAGATAACCGGAGGAGATATCTGGGCTGGGTGTAGACGTCGTTGTCTAGTGGACAACTGGAAATGTGGACCAGGACTCAGGACCAGAGCAGTGATAAGACCTGTATTGACATTCATTCATTCAATAAGCATTTAGCTTATTGATATATTATATATATATATATATATATATATATATATATATATATTAATATATGCCAAGTACTATGTTAACCCTGTGGGATGTGGCTATGTGCAAGAGAGAGGAGACAAGTAAAACCCCAAATAAACTAATTTCAGATAGAGCAAGACAGGACTGAAAAGGGAGAGGAGCATCAAGAAATTAGTGTGTCCCAGAAACCAGGTGTGTTTGCACAACTCAGTTGGAAAAAGAGTCCCACACACTGTATTTTTTTCAACTGTAAATATTTTCATCTGTATTTCCGAAACATACCGAAACCATGTACCCAGACTAGCATCACCCCTGAAAAAGCTAGTAATTTCTTCATATCAAATATCCAGTGTTCAAAATGTCATTTGTCTCGTCTCTTTATTTCTTTACAGTTTTTGTTTAACTCAAGATCCAAATAGTATCCACATATTGCAGTTAGTCGATATGTCTCTCATTCCCGCTTTTTTTTATTAATTTCTTTTCAGCGTAACAGAATTCATTGTTTCTGTACCACACCCAGTGCTCCATGCCATATGTGCCCTCCATAATACCCACCACCTGGCTCCCCCAACCTCCCACTCCCCATTCCCGCTCTTTTTTAAGATTTTACTTATTTGTTGGAGAGAGAGAGAGAGAGAGAGAGATTGAGTGGGGGAGGGGCAGAGGGAGAAGCAGGCTCCCTGCTGAGCAGAGAGCCCAATGCTGGGCTGGATCCCAGGACCCCGAGTTCATGACCTGAGCCTAAGGCAGAGGCTTAACCAACTGAGCCACCTGGGTGCCCTCCCTTACTCTCTTTTAATTTTTTATCTCTTGTTTTTTTCCTTCCCCTGACATTTCTTTCTTTCTTTCTTTCTTTTTTAAGATATATTTATTTTAGGGCACCTGGGTGGTTCAGTCGTTTAGTGTCTGCCTTCAGCTCAGGCCATGGTCCCAGGGTCCTGGGATCGAGCCCCGCATCGGGCTCTCTGCTCGGCAGGAAGCTTGCTTTTCCTCTCCCACTCCCCCAGCTTGCGTTCCTGCTCTGGCTGTCTCTCCATCTGTCAAAAAAACAAATAAAAATTTTTTTTTCAAAGATTTTATTTATTTATTTGACAGACAGAGATCACAAGGAGGCAGAGAGGCAGGCAGAGAGAGAGGAGGAAGCAGGCTCCCCGCTGAGCAGAGAGCCCGATGCGGGGCTCGACCCCAGGACCCTGGGATCATGACCTGAGCCGAAGGCAGAGGCTTTAACCCACTGAGCCACCCAGGCGCCCCACAAATAAAATTTTTTTAAAAAGAAGACTTATTTGTTTTAAAGAGAGAGAGAACAAAGGGACAGAGGGACTCATTTTTAATGTTTATTTATATATGAATCACATGCAATAATGTTCACCTTTTTTGATGT